CGTGGAAAAGTTTGTTCACTAGTCAAAGAATCTGCTTCTCGCAAATTTGATATGAAAGAAGAGGTATTCTCTATGGACGTTTTGAATATACAATATCTGAAACTAGGCAAAATCACTGGTTTGCTTAAGTTCTATCAAGTGTAATTTTATGATCGTGAATGTTCTTAGGCCTTCAACACAGTGACCAAATAAAATGAATCGTGTACCTTGCATTTTTTTTCCAGTAGGTCAGTGCCTTATTTATTTGTTTTGTGTGTTGTAAGGTGATGCTCACGCTTCTAACACAGTTGGAGTTAGGGGAAGTGCAATACTTGCGCCTACTTCCACAAGTAAATGTTACATGCACTGTGAATTTCTACAAGGTTGGTTTCATATGGGAATCTATATCTCCTATGTTCTTGATACCCTTCTTTTGTATGCTTGCCATTTCTAGCGGCTTAATAATTATTCCATGAGTACTGGGGTCCCCCCCCCCCCCCCCCCCCTCCCTTTTCCTTTAAAAGGTACCTGCACATATAACCTGGAAACGAACTCAAGTTGTGAACGTTTATCCAGTGTTTAGGACTTGGATTCCCAGTTTACTGGCTTGATGTCATTTTTGTTCCAAGAAAGACGGCTAGCTGTGCTTCTTATTAATTATATTGGTCTTAGATTTGATCGCACACAGTGTTGATGCTTTGAGATGCATAAATGCAGACTGCACCAGGGCTACTTGCTGACAAGGATACCGTGGTTTCTGCAATCCTCAAAAGGTCCGCACAGTTTCAACTTTCTGATTGCAACCTTGTAAAGCATGTTATCCAATATCCATTGTTTTAGAATTCTCCTTTGATCATATGAAACCATTTTTCAGATGTGAAACTAAGCAAGGAGAACATGTTTTTGACATTCCTTCAGTGGCAAATAGCATTGGCATCTCAATTACTGAGTTGTCTGATCACCTCTTGAATCTGAAGGTTTGAAACCTAGAGCACTCCAAAATCCTTCTTTTAATCTCTATGATTGCACTTTTCATTTGGAAAGGGTTGACTCTTGACTTTGTACGAGGATGGGAAACATGATTTACAGCTTCCAAACCCATCAAACTAAATGCATTCCATCCAAAGTTACTCTGGATATACTTTGTAGTGTTTCAGATGTTTAATTTGAGTGGGCATTTTCTCTGCTGAATGTTGGATGATCCAGTTCAAAGGAGAAATAACATACGAGGTTAAGGACCCAGCATTTTGTTATATACTGGTGGAGGTGCCCAAGGATGTGAGCTCCCTTTCCACACATCTCACCAAATGGCTAGCTGAAGTCGAACGGTGTAAGGTATTTGATTCCGGATATATCTCCTTAACATAATATGCTTAAACCTGTAGCCATGGGTTATAAAACCAATTGTGAAATCGTAAGATCTGAAATGTTTCTGGTCACATTTGACTCTCCTTTTTGTTCTTCTTGGTTAGTGGATTTATGTAATTCTTTTTTCCTGCAGGTAAGAAGGCTACAGGAAATCCATGATGCTGTCCAATTCACCATGAATGGTTGCAAGAAGACTGCAGGTTGCAATGGCGCTGACCACACAGCATGCCTGCAGAGAAGGATTCTCAACTACTTCAATGAAGATACAGAACACGAAGTTGCAGACAAGACCAGTCAAATCAGGTCAACTCCAGATTCTTTCTTTGTTTTCTTCTGTTGTATTCAGTTACTGTAATTGGTGTACAAAATGCTGACCAAAGAATGGGGTTTATCCATTGCAGCCCATTTCTGCGAGCAGATATAAAGGTGAGACAGTTCAATTATACTAAAGCGTTGGTAGCTTGTACCCCAAGCTAGTATTTCTGTGCAGTTGCTAAAGAGATAGCCGTACTGCTGCAGGTTTTCCTGCAGAGCAATGCGCATGCAAAGTTTACACCCCGAGCTGTTGCGAGAATAATGCACGGCATTGCCAGTCCAGCTTATCCTTCATCGACTTGGGCTGGTGCCCATTTCTGGTATGTCAAGACTTGTTGGATGTTGGACTAAACTAAAACTCATAAAATATCCTTTAAACAGAACCACATTGATAACACTTTGGTCTGGTACATGCTGAATCGATTGTAACTCGGTCCATCCTTTGGTAACTACTTGCAAAATGGCAGCCTTTCCACGGTCTGGAGGTTATACTGAATCCGAAAGTGTGTGGATGTTTGCAGGGGAAGGTACACCGGAACTGATTTCAAAGTGGTAATGGAAGCTGCAAAGGCAGAGTTAATTAAGTGCGTCGGGAAGGATGGCTCAGTACCTGTATAGAGCTGGTAAATTTTACATATACATTCAGTTGGCTGGTAACAAAATGTTGCAGCTGGTAAAAAGGAGTTCCCGAAACGTCGTCGACTGTGAGATTGGTAAAGGCATGGACCAAGTGAAATTGTTCCGCCGCTGCTTATCCCTCGGTACCTTACACGTCAAGGCAATTTGCTTGCTGTGGCGGAGAAGGGTACATGAGGCTGAAGAATTCCCCAGCTGAAGTTACCGAAACGGTGCCGTATGATTGGAAAGTAGAGAGATACATACAGCCACAGGATAGGAGCTTCTGGAGTTTATGTGCTACGTAACAGAGCCGGGGGCTACAAGTTTCAATGGCAGACGTTTCGGTGAAGCTCGTTACGTTTCCCACCCAAACCTTTCAAAAGAAGAGTCAGGTTGTTGAATAGTTGATTGTCACTACACAACTGAGATCAATGTCACACATCATTAGAGTATGAGTAGTAATTAATAATAATATTATTATAGTATATTACGAGTACTATTTCTGTAATTTCTTATAGTCATATTCCTTATTAATTTGGGTTTGTATGTTAGATTTCTACAAGTTAAGTGTTTTTCTATTAATATTAGGATTTTTATGAGAATTCGTTATTTTTATAAATTTTTGTGGTTCAATAATAAGATACAATAATTTCTATCAAATTCCTATTAATCAACATAATATCAAAATGGAGATTTTTTTTGGGTAAATGTCACATTTGGTCACTGAAATTACTAAATCATGTCATGTTTAGTCACTAGAAAATATTAATATCAATTTTGGTCACTCGTATTACTGAAACATGTCACATTTTGTCACTCTCTCGTTAGTTTTCGTCCAACTCCATTAACGGAGTTGGACGGAGGCTAACGGAGAGTGACTAAATGTGACATGTTTCAGTAATTCAAGTGACATTCATAAAAAAAAAGTAATTTGAGTGGCCGGAGTTGGAAGGAGGCTAACAAGAGAGTGACTAAATGTGACATGTTTTAGTAATTCGAGTGACCAAAATTGATATTAAAATTTTCTAGTGACTTAACATAACACGATTTAGTAATCCCAGTGACCAAATATGGTATTTACCCGAATTTTTTTTGTTCGAATTTGGAAATTGATTTGATTTTTTACTTTATATGTGTTTTGCGGATAAGACCATTATCTTAGATGGTCAAAAGAACCTTGCAAGTTTCTTTACTTCCTCTTGTAGTTTTCATCATTGGCTTAATGACGACTTCAAAGAATGTTTTATTCTTTCATCGAACACATGCATAAACATGTGACTCAAGTGGTAAGGAACAGGGTTTGCCACAATGTTCTTTCTCCCTCAATTCTCATAGCTGATTATTGTGACGAAAGTTTATTGATGACCAATGATAACTCAAATGAATTTAACAGGTATCAAACATTCATGAAACTTATGGTAATCTTAAACAAATGCTTCAATAATCACAATGTGAAATTATACCGCAAGTTGTTCCGAAAAATTTAATGATAAGATATTTTATACTTAACATTATAATTTAATCGTGATTCAATTATTTCTTATCGATAAAATCATCATCAATTTGATTTTCGTATTTTCGTTCAGACAACCAATACAGAATACAGTAGGTTTTCTCAAGGAAAAAGTGGGCAAGTGAGTAGGATGGCAATTTCGACCTGACCCAATTTACCCGACCTGTTTGACCTGTTTTGGGGCGGGTCAAACCCGCCCCGTAGGCGGGGCGGGGCTGGCATGGGTACCTCTTATCTACCCGACCTGCCCTGACCCGCCCCATTCTCGACCCGTTCTTGCCTAAATTACATATAATCTTAGTGAAATTACTTAAGATTTTCCTCTTATTACATTATATTTTAGCTATAATAAAGTTGTAAATAAGTGAAAACCTCAATTTCTTCAATAATTCAACTACATTTTATCATATTATGGTTTCTTTCTTGGTCTTTCAATGAAAAGAACGAATATTTCTAATGTTTTTCACATAAATTACATACCCAATGGGTCGACCTGCCCCGACCCGCGCCCCGTAATAAATTACCCGACCTGGACCCGACCTGCCATGGGGCGGGTATGGGTATCAAGATACCCGCCCCGGACCTGCCCCATTGCCATTCCTACAAGTGAGGGCCCAGTGGTGGACCCACGGCAAATGATAAAATTGGTAATGGTTAAAAAGAATTGGGAAAAAAGAAAAGAAAAAGTAGGATGGTAATGGATCGGGTCGGGGGCGGATAGTGTATATCCGCTATCCTATTCAAATTAGTTCGGGTTTTACCCATACTCATACACATTCTCGCATAACAATCGGATCAGAAAATCAAAATCATGCTCATACCGTTCGGATTTCGGGTATTAACGGTTATCCATGGGTAATAACTTCTCGTTATAACTCTTACCAACATCTTTATCTTCACACGTATAATCACATTATATAAGTGGAGAAAGTATGACAATAAATCACTAGAACGAAGAAAATCAATTGTATACAAAACAATTTTATGAAAATATTATATTTGTATGTTGAATATAAATTATGTTTACAAAAATAATGATTATTCCCGAACAAAATACATATGAATATTAATGTGTATAATTGGGCGGGTTTGGGTTAGATAGTGTGAAAACCATGCCCACCCATTATCCACAATATTTTCGGGTTTGAGATTTATCCAATTCCACTGAAAATCTTTTGAATTCGAATTTTACCATAACCGATTAGGACGGATTCGGACAAATATACACTATTGCCCATATTTTCGCCGGAAAAGGGATTGGACGGTGTATTTGGCGGGTTTGTGATGCGAAGCAGAGGGTATATTCGCGACATAATTTGACGGGAACTAGCTGGGCAATCGGCATATTAAGTCAGTTTGCGCAAAGAAAATATTTCGAAGGCCGGAGTCTGATTGCTGCGATCCCGTTAGTCCGACACGACTGCGAGAATTTACCATTGATTTGGGGGGCAACGAACAGAAGTTTCAAGCAATCAAAAGAGGAAAATCGGAGAAACCTAAATCAAAATTCCTTCTTCCCTTTCTCTTTCTCTTCTTCCTAAGCAACCAAACGCCCTTCCTTTTCCTTCCTGCCTCGTGTGTCGCTCACTCTCTCAGCTGTATATATCGAAGGGAAATTGAGCGGAGAGAGGAAGGAATTTGGAGCGTGGGGTTTCGGGTTTGGGGAAGGTTGGAAACGACCTAGAGGTGAGATGGGGGATGCCGGCGATTCGGGGTCTTTGGATCAGACCGTTGGGTCTTCTTCTTCGCACTCGTCCACCTTTTTCACTAATTACCCGCTCATCGCTGCAATTGTCGCCTTCACAATTGCGCAAGCTACCAAGTTCATCACCTCCTGGTACGTTCATCTTTGGCAGCTTTTCAGGATCTGGGTTTGTTTTCTTTCGTGAAAAAGCTATGGTATTTTGTGTTTGCCAGTGATTTGGATATATTACCGGTGAATTTCATTTTTCCTTTGATAAGATGATGTCCTGTTAGAATGCGAGCCCGTTTAATGGTCTGTCTGTCCATGGCTGATTGTTATCTGGCGGGCATGATTGATTGATCTTGAGAATGTGATGGAAGGGAATGGGTTGGAATTTAGTTTGGTAGATGAATGAAACTAACTACCAGTCAACCCATGAAAAAGAAAGAGAATTAGTTGGTGAAAATATAAACAACTTTTGTAGCCATGTAATCAAGCTGGTGAAGTTATTCTATGAATCGATCATATGCTTGTCGGTTTTGAACAAATGAGCTAATGGGAGCTAAAGATATTCTGTAATTTTATCCCCTTAAGAGACCCCTGAAACCCTCTTTAACTATTTGCAGTAAGCTTTTTTTGTTGGCATGTAGTTTGCTGATTGCTTTAGCTTATCTCTTAAGTGGCTTAAGGTTTCCTTAGATGTGCAGGTACAGTGAAAAAAGATGGGATTTGAAGCTGCTCATTGGATCTGGTGGTATGCCATCTTCCCATTCTGCGACTGTTTCTGCTCTCGCCATGGCCATTGGGTTCCAGGAAGGGTTTGGAGGATCACTTTTTGCCGCTGCATTGATCTTAGCTTGCGTTGTAAGATTCCTCTTCAGTCATATTGCAAACTTAAAAAAGACAGATCACTTTGTTGATGTGGATTCATTTTGTTTTGCAGGTGATGTATGATGCAACTGGTGTAAGACTACAAGCTGGACGCCAAGCCGAGGTTTTGAATGCTATAATACAATCCCTTTTGTACAATTGGTGGTAATCAATCCCAATTACTAGTTAATCAAATGAGCTTTTTTGCCTCAGGTCTTGAATCAAATTGTATATGAACTGCCAGCTGAACATCCTTTGGCAGAGAGCAGACCTCTGCGCGAGCTTCTTGGTCATACTCCTGCACAGGTAATAACACCACAAATATCTTAATGCTTATGTTTGTAGCTTTCTGACAGAGTTTTGAGTGTCTGTGAAGAAATGGAATGGTCAATATGAGACTAGTAGAGTTCTGGGAACAATCTTGAGTCTGTAGTGCTTATTAGTGCTTACCTTTGTGGATTATCTATGGTGATTGATAGGTAGTGGCTGGTTGTTTGCTTGGAGTTGTCACGGCAATCATTGGCCATCTAATCACAATGACGACTAGTCAAAGCTGATACACGTCCAGGAAGATATTATTGTTTCCCCCTCAACACATCAAAGAAGTTATAGTTCAGCTCACAGGGGATGGGGTGTTGCGATGCTCAGTTTGCTCAACTGTCACCGCTAGTGGGTTCTTGAAAGCATACTTACCCTTCTGTTGAATCTGTTGCGTTCTTTCATTCTTGATAGTGATATTCGAGACTTCGTATATGTGATTAATTGCAGTATATTACTGAAAGGGTTATTGGAAATCATGATAGTCAGTCAAATGTACCATATGCTCGAACTGGCACATAATGCTTGTATGTTTGACATGAAATTCACAGGAATTTAGGGTTCGTGATGGAGTTTCTTTGTGTTCATTATTATCCAATTGTTATTGTTGAAAAACGTTGCTATGACCCATGTTGATGGCTGCTGTTTAGGATCTTTGAGACAGAAAGAAAAGGAATGGGATGGGGAAATGCCTCCTCTCTTTTCTTTTGTTTCGATAGCTGGGAGCTCTGTCCTGTGTCCTCACATAGTCACATGGTAGATTGGACAGAGGTTCACGTGGTAGGGCTAAATGTCCTATAATAGCGTTTGTTTTCGATCCCATGTTCTTGAATGATGTATTTTAAAGACGACTTTTTTAGTTTATTGAATTTGTAAGATATATATATATATATATATATATATGGTGTTGTATTCGGTGCACCCACTTTTTCGGGTGCACTCAGTGCACCCGCCTCATAATTGTCATTCTGACCATGCGATTCATGTCAAAACGGTATCAATTGTTGCTTATGATATTATGAACAAGAAGCACATGAATTTGAAAAAAATTCATTCAAAATTTACTTTAATTCGAAGGATTTAGGTTTTAGGGATTTAGGGTTAGGGTTTAGGTTTACAATTTGGGATTTTGGGTTGGGATTCAAAATTGAAGGTTAAGGGGTTAGGGTAATGGATTGATTTGTTATGATTCTATGTCATATCATCATATTATATTGAGAGTACTAATTAAAGTTCAAAATTTGATGTATTATGGACGCTTTTAGAGTTGGGTGCACTGAGTGCACCCAAAAAAGTGAGTGCACCGAAGTAGCCACCATATATATATATGTATATATATATATATATATGTATATATATATATATATGTGTATATATATATATGTGTGTATATATATATATATATATATATATATATATATATATATATATATATATATATATATATATATGGTGGCGTATTTGGTGCACCCATTTTTTCGGGTGCACTCAGTGCACCAGCCTCATAATTGTCATTCTGACTATGCGATTCATATCAAAATGGTATCCATTGTTGCTTATGATATTATGAACAAGAAGCACATGAATTTGAAAAAAAATCATTCAAAATTAACTTTAATTCGAAGGATTTAGGGTTAGGGTTTAGGTTTACAATTTTGGATTTTGGATTGAGATTCAAAATTGAAGGTTAAGGGGTTAGGGTAATGGATTGATTTGTTATGATTCTGTCATATCATCATATTAGATTGAGAGTACTAATTAAAGTTCAAAATTTAATGTATTATGGACGCTTTTAGAGTTGAGTGCACTAAAAAAGTGAGTGCACCGAAGTAGCTATATATATATTTATAATAGTGATATATGTTTATTTTTTTTGGGATTAGGGGTACTATTACTAAAGGGATTTGAATTTGGGAGTAAGAATCATTATTACTGGAAAAAGGTTGGACTCAAGAAATAAACAAATTGTAGAAAGTGAAGTATTGGTGTTCGAAAGTTGGAGTCGGGTTTGATTTGATTATATAATTTGCAAACGGTAAGCAAAATGGTATGAAATTGGATTTGATTATATAATTTGCAAACTGTAAGCAAAATGGTATAAAATTGGATTTGATTAACAAAATGTAAGCAAAATGGTATAAAATTGGAGGATTTGTTATATCTCGTTCTAAATTGTGAGTATTCAAGACTTCGCGAATTGGCACCTCAAAATTTGTCGAATTCATGAAATTTACAAAATTAAGACCTAAAACATTAGGTATCAAGCATGATTTTAGACAATCAACAATTGTTTGAATACCAAAGACTTCTTTCAGGGGTGCATTGGTCAAATATTTTTCCAAATTAGGTGTCTTTTAGAATGAATCTCTTTATATTTTGAAATTATTTGGACACGACCAAGAAATTGGCTACTAAGCAAGTATATCTTTGACTTTACTGTCAATCCAACCTGTTCCAAACTCACTAAACATAACTGATAAGAAGGGTAACAAAGCTACATACATTCATGATTTTTAATTTCATCAGTCCCTTGGGTACATCGGATAATTTGATATCTGGATAGAAACAAGAGACCTTGTGAGCTATACGTATATACCTGAACAAGAATTGAACTGAGGAAACCAATGACTACAACAACTGCAACAAGAAAAGTTTCCAAACACAATACAGTCACTGCAGGCTCAAGACAGCAGAGAAAATGCTTCTCATCTCTGATATCGTATCCTTATCAACACCGGATTTCACACGCCAAGCGATGTGTTCATCTGGCCTGACTAAGATCGCTCCATCATCAGACATTTCACACATATCCCACCATGATACTAGGTTAGTACCCAATTTCTTAACTTCCGCTACATCGATGAAGTTGGTCCAGGGAGACAACGGGCTCTCGCTCTTCCCTTCGGTTCCCACATTAGTATCTGCAGGCCACACTATGCAGACCTTAACAGAAACTCCAAATCCTTCTGCTGCTGAGAATGCAGCTCGAGCAAGCTGATAGGATTCATTGTGGGGTCCAATGATAAGAAGAAACTCGAGTTTGTCCACGGGTATGAGATCATGCGTGGAAAGAGTCACCTAGGGAAGCAGGAATGATTCAGAGAAATGAACCTGGTTGAGATCTTAAACGGGCTGTTGAAGAAGTGATAAACAATTGCATTACCTTATTAATTGGCGAATTTGACAATGGCCTTATGTATGTGTGGGGCAGCCTGGAACCTGGATCTGCAGAAGGAACATACTCCCTTCTTCGGCCACTTGGTGGTTCTACTGTAGTACTGGCACCATTGCCATCTGAAATAAGTGCTCCCTCAAGATACCTGAATTTCATGTATGAATGTTCCAGTAAGATCCTACTGAATGACGAGTGGTTAACTAAGCAAGTCAAGTATCTTAGGTTGGCATATAAAATTGATTAGAAAACCTAGGAATTCATCTGTAGACCCATAATTATAGGTAACTTGAACTTTTAGTGTAACTACCTATGATTATAAGCTCACGTATTAAGTTGCACTACACAATTAAGTTCATGTATTTTATCTATACTTGTAAACCTACATGAGTTGGCCCGAAAATTTAGTTCATATATCAAATTGCTCAAAACTCAGCAGTTGAGGGGTGCAGGCGTGCAGCCAAAATTTCTCAACTAATAAGTAGTATACCTAAAGCCAAGATCCTCTGCAGGAAACTGGAGTTGGAGACTTTTCCCTTCTTCGAATATACGTCTCAGTTTAGCTAGCCTTGAAGATCCGACCGGGTTATTTTCATTCAGAAGAAACTCCGAGGTCTGTGCCCGGCCAATGGAGAAAATTCCATCCAACATCACTTTCTGTAGTGCAGATGGGAATAAAGTACCAAATCCAGCCGAAATTACTTGATGCACTGCAGCCAAGCAGAAAGAAAACATGGAAGTATTGTCGTGATGTTAACCAAGGAAGATTTGCACCAAAATGTACTTTTAAGTTACCAGAATTTGCAACCGTTGGATTGAGACCAATTGCAGCAGGAACTGCCATAGCTGCTCTGAAGTTTTTCACACTAAGTTCTGTATTAATAAGTGCTGTCTGAGGGCCAAGAAAATAGTGTAGGTCAAGGATATGCACAGGTTGTGAAACAATGATAAGACGAGTACAGTTGAAAAGGTGAAAAGCAATACCGGCCTTCTTTCAGTTTCATAAGTCTTGAGTATTGAAGATGGTGAAATGCCCTTTACAAAGGCTGCTATTTTCCACGCAAGATTATGAGCATCCTGAATACCCGTGTTCATTCCTGCAATGAAGGCACCATTTTGGTTAGCCCCAACAACAACAACAAAAATATATCTTGGTTTCAGTTTTGGTTCCTGAAATTTATTTATTTTTTCACTGAAATTTCAACCGAACTTAAAACAAGGTACTTGTGAAAGTAGGAAACGAACCAAAATCATTCAACATTAAAAATAAAATAGATTGCTACAGTTCCAAACCCAAGAAACAAATGCAGCAAAATTAAAGAACCAATAGTGGAAGTGTAAGTACAAATTTCAGCATGTTTAAGGTATAATAAAATTTCATCAATACATCAAATAAATTAGACTAAGTTTATTACAAAACAATTTATAACTTTTAGCAGATTCCATCAATGCCGAAACCTCCTTAAGGCTTCAACAAATTTTGGTTTGGTTTTGGTACAGAAAATCGAAACAAAAACCAAAAACATTGAAACTCAGTAGCAGAAACTAATTTCAATACCAAATAATTTGCTTTTGGTTAACCAAAATCCAAAAACCATGCGCACTAACTCATAGCATAAACTTAACGCAGGCTAAAACTTACCAAAACCACCAGCCGGAGGGAATCGATGGGCAGCATCACCGACAAGTATTACTCGATTGTTACAGCATACAAACTTCTCAGCAACTTCAGCATGCATCACCCAGGGCTTTATGTCGATCACTTCAACATCTGAAAGCTCTTGGCCAGCCAATTTGAAGATCAACTTCTTGCAATTCTATGAAAAGTTGATCTGTTGTAAGAAACCATATTTGACGCTTCAGGAATTGTTTACTCGCACATAAGTTAAATGACTATATCACTTGATCTTTTTCTTTTAAGTTTTAAGTCTTGGCAGCGAGATAACAACACAAAATGTAGAGGGTCTTGTTCTATGTTTGAAGCCTCTCTAGTCTCTACAGGAACAGAAAGTACCTCAGAATTGAAATCATCAAGGTTTTGCTGAGGTGGATAGAAAGGCATCTGAATGATAAAATCCATGAAACAAGAGTGTAATCATCAGCATATGATAACCCTTAAGAGCAAACGATAAGGTACAATCATATGTTCAAAAATTCTTCATAGACTTGCATACCTGCAACACAAATTCTCCATCCTTGACATCATGAGCCACAAGGACACCAATGGCTTCAGTATTGAAAATAAAGAACAGCATCCCAGGTCTTTCTTTCAGCAGGTAATCTCCGAGATCCCTGCTCCGAAAATGAATGCTGACTAGCTTCTGCAAGTCCTTTTCGCCACTCAGCTCTATCCCCACAAGGCTCCTAATTCTACTTCCAGCACCATCAGCACCAACAAGGACACGGCATTGGATTTTTTCTTCCTTCTTCTTCCCGTCCTTGATTTGAGAAGTAGTCACAGTAACGTATTCATCGATGGTATTATCA